ACTGCCATGAACAGGTTCCAGGTTCGATTCCCGGGCCGGGAGAAATATTTGTATGGCCTACATTTATTTGTCTCGTGAGTTTGGGTGTAATTTGTAATTGTCTATTTGTGTGTCCATGGCACCCGCGACACAGGGTTTCCCTAGTGCGGGGCTATGTCGAGTGTGTGCGTTATTATTATTAAAAGTCACATCATGAGATGTGACTTTTAATAATAATAGACTACTTATCATCATAAGAGAATACTTATGAAAGTATTCTCTTCTTACGACCACCCAGGTGGCTCCACAGCGCTTTATGCACTCGATGAAGAGTTCAATGTCCATACGTCGTCATCGCAATCGCTGTATATGGCTATATTTATTACAGAGAGACACACAACGAAATATCTCCTAAAATATATTTTTTTTAGAAAACCGAGTGACGGGACGAACAAGACGTGGGCTTGATGTCAAAGTCAAAGTCAAAGACTATTTATTCCATAGGTAAAATAAATTTACACTTGAAAACGTCACATTTAAGCTACTGCTCGTTCACTACGCTGACCTCCCTGAGAAGAAAGAGCAAGAAACTCTAGGGATTGCTGTTTTCAAATAAACTTAAATGCTATGGAATACACTTTGAATCAAATTGTGTGGATTCTGGAACCATGTCGTCTTTCCATACATCTTTATCTAACACGTAGTCTTCAATTTTGTAATATGATTTTTCGATCAAAATATTTTTAATGTAGTTTTTAAACTTAGGAAACGATAAACTTAATATATGCTCCGGAATCTTATTGTAAAAACGTATACAGTTCCCCATAAAAGAGTTGTTTACCTTGGTTAAACGAAATCGTGGTACCATGAGTTTGGATTTAGCTCTAAGGTTAATATTATGGATATCTTCTTTCATAATGAAATTATGTATATTTTTACGGGCATATAAAATATTTGAGTAAATGTACTGTGATGCCACAGTCATGATACCAGTCTCCTTAAGCTTTTCTCTGAGAGAAACCCGAGAGCCTAGACGGTACACAGAACGAATCGCTCGTTTTTGCAATACAAATATGGTTTGAATATCTGCCGCTTTACCCCACATGAGAATCCCGTAGGACATTATACTATGGAAGTAACTAAAGTAAACTAGTCTAGTAGTACCAACATCGGTAAGCTCACGTATTCTGCGGACTGCGTATGCCGCGGAGCTTAATCTGCTGGCCAGGGAAGATATATGTGGAAACCATTGAAGTTTACTATCTAAGGTCACTCCCAAGAAGACTGCTTTATTAACAAAGTCTAACTGTTCTCTGTTTATTTCTATGCTTCGACTAGTCGATTTTACGTTAGGTAATTCAAATTTAACACATTTTGTCTTCTTGGCATTAAGCAATAAATTGTTAGCATTAAACCATTGATTTATAAGTAAATGGACGACGGGTCTAATACAAAAACCACGAAAAAAATGTCCCAAGTCAACCTATTTAAACGTAGTGACATGTAAAGGAATATGAAAAAGGTAAAACGTTGAATTTAAATTGTAATGTCATCGCAGTACTGTCTAATTTTGCTTGCTTCGCTGTCAGTCGAACAAACGAAGACTAAAGCGTGAATGACGCTCTGTATACGATTTTAACGCCCTATAAGTTCGGACACTTTTTAGCGCGGACCCGACGTCCATATAATTGTAAGTCAATGCATTAAACCAATAAACTACCTTAAAGAGGGTATCATTAATATGGTCATAGTTAATGTCATGTCTGTCTGTTTTAAAAATCAAGGATGTGTCATCAGCAAACAACACTATTTCGCAATGGTTCTTAACAAAGAATGGCAGATCATTAATATAAATAAAAAATAAGAAAGGCCCATGGTATGGATGGTAAGTAACACGCCTGTTCATAACAATTTTAGTGCCACTCAGAGCTTTAAAACGCAAAATCGGAGGGGCACTGCTACTGCGCCCGTCACCCTGAGACATTAGATGACAAGTCCCGTGTGCCTATAATTTCACCAGTACCCCTACCCTTCAAAACTGGAACGCAGTAATGCTCATATTACTAATTGGCGGCAGAAATAGGTAAGATGGCAGTACTTCCCTAGACGAACTCTTTCACAAAGAGCTCTATTGCTAGATTCTTTATTTTGTACATATTAGACGTGAAAAATAAAAGGTTTCTTTCTTGTATCCGTAGGTATCGCAGAAATTAACTAAGATACAGTCCTTCAAAATAGTACGTACTTGTTGAAATTTTAATCACGAATCGACTAATGCACTTAATCCAGATGAGAAATATGGGTATATATTTCATAAGTTAACAGATTACGTATGCAATAGACAAGTTTACAACCTAAAGAAAAATCTTTAGGTTGTAAACTTGTCTATTCACTTTGTTATTCACTTGAAGTGACGTGACGAACAAGTTGTGCGCCTGATGGTAAGCTACACGCCTGTCCATAGCAGTTGCAGACCCACTCAGGCCTATAATTTCACCAGCGCCCTTACCTTTCAAAACCGGAACACAGTAATGTGGACATTACTGCTTGGCGGCAGAAATAGGTAAGGTGGCAGTACTACCCTGGACGAACTCTTTCACAAGGAGCTCTACTGCTACTTTAATATCAGCATTAAGCTCGTAGAGCGCTGGTGAAGAGCTCTGGAGGAATTCTGTAGATTGTAATGTAGCTTGCAAACATTTCACATTAGTGAAAGCGTGTGCCGCTGCTGGTACCGCTTGGAATGTAGACCACAGATATTGCTTAGTGAGTTTGGTAGTTCAAGTGAAATTAAATCCGGTTTTATAAAAAATATTTATGGTCTTAAAATATGTATTGTACAAGAGATTTTTAGTAAAATGGTAAACGGTTCAAAAAAATAGGAAGACGATGTGTTCACTGCCGCGATCGGGTAGAGACTGACGATGGAAAGAAACAAAATCATAATTCGAGGTAAAATGGAACATTTTTAAATTTTAAATTTAATCATACTTAGAAGAAGAAAAAACGATACGATACGAATGGAGAGAAGCGATACAAAAAGGTGGGATGACGATGTAAGGAGGTCACACCATCACAAGCTTCATCAATAGGTACTAAAATACAAAAACTTGGATTTACTAAAGATATTTGTCAAATATTCCTGACCTAAAAGGAAATGCCGCCCTGTATCGTACCCGCTTCAAGAGTTCCCATTGTACTGGCAGCATTGACACCTACTGAGCCAACCACGACCCAGAGCGTGGTCGCAGCCCCATGTATCTGAGTCAGCGACTCAACTCTTTAAATAAGTCTCCAGCTTCCGAACCCCAGGACCTCCTGTCTCGACCGTGATCGGTACGAAGTCGTATGTACGCTCTAAGACAGAGTATTTTGCTTTAGTTGCACGGCGTTTCCAACCGCGGAACCCGCCAACGGCGAAGTTCTATGAGAAAGTAAAGATCATGTTCGACGAATACTCCTCCATCGTACTGTATTTATGGCTCTGATTATTAGAAAAAAGAACACTGTTGGGCAACTCCTAGAACTATTCCATGGATCACTATAACTCTGACAAGAAAAATAAGGATATATTTTCTAATAAGAGTTGCTGAGATCAACAAAGATATAGTTCTGACAAACAATGGGAAGTTGCTTTGACTATTTTAGAATTAAGTACGTGATAAAAAGCCGTGACATTTTGCAAACACGTGAACAGAGTCATGTTGGAGGGATGTGAAGGAAAATCGCATGCGCAGATTCGTGCTAGTGTGCACGAACACACCTCAGACGTGAAACCGTCAGTATAACAACAATAAGTATTTTGTAAAAGTGTGATTAATTTCTAATCCTGAAAATGGTATTGTTTTGTGACGCCCGTATCACTCAGCCATCCTCAGAGCCGTCATCATAACCCCTTCATGGACAGTAACGGCGTTTACCGTAAAATTAAATATCAGAATCTGATAGTGCAGGGTACCCCGTTTCGCTATATAAGTAGATCTCAAAAAACCAACTTCGTGCTTTACAGTACAATTTTCATGTATTTTGTGTATAGTTGCCGCCTATTGCTTCTCCATAGACAAATTGATATTTGTACAACGTACTGACAAAATTCAATTATTTAGATTGAATATTTCATATATTGAATCAATTATAATCACTACGGCACGAAGAAGAGTAATGACTTTTTTGTGTGCAGTACTAAGTCATATTTAAATACTGTTCACTACAGTTAATACATACATAATTTTTTTTCACCTCACTACCTTGGAAAGGCTTTCTTTCTTATTAGAAATCTGCGCGCAAAAGCGATTATTCCACGTTAGCATGGAAAAGGTTTTTGAAATTCGAACTTGACGATGAACTGTGGTACACTTAACTTTTCCTTTCAATGAAAAAAAGACATAATGACGCGATTTGTCGTATATTATTTATGTAATAACAATCCGTTGGTATATTTTGTTCTTATTATTGTTGATATTAAATTGACAACGATAACTAGTTTTGTTTATTAAATTATTTTAATTCGTTGAAGAACTAAACTCATTTGCTCAACTGTTTTTCTTTCGTCTACCATTTTCCTCGCTATAGTGAAGTGAAAATTTGTGTTCCGCTCGACAGTAAAATCATTTGAAACCCTCGCTACGCTTAGGATTCTATCTTTCAACTCGCATCGCTCATGGTTCAATCTTAAAGTTCTTTGCTTGTTCAGGTTTCAATACAAGCACTCGCGTTAAACAACAACTTTGTAGTCTTGCATAACAAATAACTATTTATTCTTTAATGTTAATCAATAGAAGCATAGGGAACAACAAAGGCATTTGGCGTCCAAGCGCGTTTTGATGTTATGGCATCAAAACAATATATCTCATATCTTGTGACAAAAAGTCATTTCGATCTCCCTTTTAGATGGCGTAAGTTTCATTAATTTAGAAGGTGGCGCTCCGCCTTTGTTGCATGGATTATAAATGTGCGTTTGAATTTCGGACACGTTACCTCCGTCTGGTAAAGACTTATTTTAATATCAAAAAGTGTCTGAAATGAACGACTTCATCCTCAACATGGAGCATCTAGGAGACCAGTGAGACTGCTGAAGGTGATTGTGTGGATTCATTTCATTCCAGCGAACGTAATAAATGATTAAAAATATGATTAATTTTTTATCAATGTAACTTTTAAATAAGACTGATTTACAATTTATTTCCTTAAAAATAAATAATAATAAAACGAACGCCCCATTAATTTACCAGTTTGGTGAAACAAGTGCGGATAACAGAAGGAAAAAAAAACATTTTTAAATGTTGCTAATTGTTTTAAAATAATAAAAACATCTAAATCTTTTAGGTTAATCATAGGACGAATTAATAATAAGGTATATAAGTGTCATACTATAAATATTAAACAGATATAAGACATCAAAATTTTATTTTCAATTTTTCTCGAATCTCACTTTTAGGTGATACGCCCTTGTTACACCCAATGCTTCTTTTTTCGTAAAAAAATTAAACAAGTACTAATATCATTGACTTACAATTATAGGGACGTCGGGTCCGCGCTAAAAGTGTCCGAACTTATAGGGCGTTAAAATCATATACAGAGCGTCATTCACGCTCTCGTCTTCGTTTGTTCGACTGACAGCGAAGCAAGCAAAATTAGACAGTACTGCGATGACATTATAATTTAAATTCAACGTTTTAGCTTTTTCATATTCCTTGACATGTCACTACGTTTAAATAGGTTGACTTGGGACATTTTTTTCGTGGTTTTTGTATTAGACCCGTCGTGCATTTATTTGTAAGTCATTGACTAATATAGTACTTTTTTAAATTTTTTCACAAATTAAGTAATACCTTAACCTGGAGATGTCTAAGTATATGTCTGCCTGTTTATTATAGAGAGACACAAAGTTGACAATCTCTTGATTTTCTACAAGCCCGGCGACAAAAGTTTACAGTTTCCTGTATATGTCTTACAAATAGACTGAATTATAGTGTAATACTAACTAGTGCTTGTAGTCCAAACGGACTAGCATCCTTAACATCGAAAAGCACTGAAACAGAGAGCATATTTTGGAACAACGTCAACACATTAACCGATAACGGCGCGCCATTAAAGCGCTACTGTTTATTCGCATTACACTATCGATAACAATACAATGTTTAATCACTTCATTTGTGGTGAATTATTGTCTTGCGCCACGTTCCAGGGACTTTTCGGTTTTATATTAAATATAAGTATTACTTCTTTATGGTTCGAAGGAAACTAAGCTCAATTTCACGTGATATTGAGTTAAAATTGATTAATGTGGAAGGTATGATCACTTAACGTTAGCCACAAGATCAGAACGTTTAAGGCTAAACCTGTTATCTGACCTTCTGGAACTTATTATAGATTCTTTTTCCAAAACACAACTATAATAAATTCTTATAATAATTAATACAAAGATCGAACACTTAGAAAATGCCCTCCGATCCGGCTGGATTCGAAACAGTACATTCTAGCAAACCGTGCTAGATGCCATGCCAACTAAGCCACGTGGCCTTAGGAATTTTTCTATATGCTTGTTGCACATCTTTGTTTTTGTGTTTTAACGATTTTTTTGGCACAGAGCTATCTGCGTGATACATGGCTCTCTTAAAGAAATAGATTTCTCACAAATGGCGCTACGGCAATATAATAAGTCGTTAAGAACCAAAATAAATATCTGCAACAAGCACAATTATTTAATTGCACATTTTTATTTGAATCTAATTTTTGTTATTTTTATTTGTCTTTATTAAATTAATTTCATTTGTATTTAACTTCATTTATTTATATTATTTTATTTATTTTATTTGAATATATTTCTTTGCTTATGTCTTCATTTTGTTAATTTAATGTTATGTGTGCGCTTATTAATTTTATAATGTTATGTATGGATGTAATATTTTAAAATAAATGATTTGAATTAGAATTAAATCTAAACATCTGTGTAAAACTACGTTAATGCTTTTGTATATATTAAATAAATTAAATAAAAAGATTATCAGCTCTTCTCTCTGTTAATGTAGGGATCTCGATCACAAAATGAATATTTATTGTACATCCAATTATCCGACTTGAAATTTGGTAAACTATCGCAATCCGATATAATAACAATCACCTTACTCTGATATTGCAACTAGACAGGCTTAGACTACCCAACTCGTTAACTACTTTGCAGTTGTAGAACTATCGTTTTTGGGCTCATTAAATTGGTGTCGATGAGATGTTGACTTACGTATTTTTTATTGGCTAAGATGACAACAACAACACATCTCAGTTTTTTTTAAACCACTTCTTCCTGATGAATTAGGTGGTTTTTAGAAGGGCGCTATTTTACCCGCTCACGCGATGTGCTCCTCTTACCGCAAAATGGCGGTTATTTGTTTGGTTATTTGTTTAAATACAAGTTTTTATGAATAAAAATTATTATTCTGCTTTGCTAAATAAATACCCTCCGTACTACCAACAAAAACATCTCAAATAAAATGCAGTAATACACCGCAAATCCTGCACTTAAAAAGCACTAATGAAATTTTTGGTGTACTTGGATAAATATGATAATATTCCGTTTGAGTGGTTCTAACGTTTACCATGAAATTACTCCTTAAAGTATAGTTTATAAACATTTATATTCAGGGTAAACTTAAAAAACGCTACTTACGATATGTTTTCAATAAATAAACACAGAAATCACCAGCCCAAACAATAACACACACGATTGTCGTGACGTATTTTTGAAATTGTTTATTTTTTTTAAATGACAGACCCAGGCATTAAAAACTTTATGGTTTGCTAGAGTAGTTACCGAAATAGCGATTAGTATTAATTCTTTTACCTGTTATAACTTCGATATCCGATAAATCGGTATAAAATCATCACCGGCACCTCTAAGTGTGGTATGCGTCTACGGCTGCATGTATCGCGTGAGCGGTTAGAAAGCCATCGCGTTATCTTTATTTTGGAAAAAAATTGTAACCGATCATAATAAGTTATCAGGAATCTCGTCATCTTTAGTGACAAGCAAACCTTTAAAAAATAAAATTTGATTGATTATTATTTATGTAAAATCTTATTCTATCGTAGGTATTACTTTATATTTACTTTCCTTGTTTTAATTGAGAATTAAACTTGTGTAAGTAGAGTTTGGACTTTTGGATCTTATAAATGACCAAATCTACGCGCCATAAGTAAGTATGGGAAGGTTGCACGTGTCCATCATGTTCTTTTAGAGAGATATTGGGAGAGTACCTCCATAAGGTCTTTCATGGACCAATGGCTTCTCCTGGCATTTTTAGTCTAGCAATTTCTTGCTCTTGTCTGCACTGGAAGGAGACTACTTGGCCCAAGTAAAGGTACTCGCTGACATATTGCATATCCTCCCCATTAATGCAGATTTTGCGTTTGCGCTATACAATAAATAAATAAATCATGAATATCTCGAGGTGACATATTCTTTCGAATACTATAAATGTTATATTTCGATTCCGATAAAAATATTACCTCCGCAATTATTCGCCTTCTCTTAGCTCACATATGTACTCCTGTGTTCTTGACTAAGGTCCGTGTTCGAGACCACTCCCTGTGCGAGTGTGGTCTGGCAGAAGGTTCCCTCGAGCGCCTGTTTTTTGACTGTAATTGTATTGTCACCTCCCTCCTAAAATCACCCCTCCCGTTAATATCAACTTCCTCCTAACGTTAGTCCCCTCTTCCTTTGTGCATGTGCTGTGTAAATTAAAAAAAAATGTTTCTGTAATAGTCTGTGTAGGTTTTTTGAAGATTCTTCTCTCAGTGAATTCTGTCGAAATTTACCGGTCAGTTTTTGAGTTAAAACGCGTGTGTTACTCAACTTGATATTAGCGAAATCATTGATTATTTCGATGGGGCCATAACATGTAAAAGAAGAAACATTACATTATGTTAAAATTAAAAAAATAACGATCTGCTTCATATGTATTAAAATGACATCGGTCAATGTTATCAAAATGAAGAGTATTTATTTTTCAACGTGTTACTTTTTTATGAAAATCCGTTAATCCGTCATCCGCATGATCCGAACGTTCATTTTGTCTGGCCGATTCCAGCCGCAATCAATAAATATTCGATAAGTTTTGAGGTGCGGTACAGTGATTCAGGTTTTATACAGACGCGTTGACCAATAATTGAGATTAATGACTTTTTTGTTTATAAATTGTTTTTTCTATTTGCCTATCAAACATTCGCTTTATGAATGATGAAAAACATTACAAGGAAACCTGGCTACTGCCCAATACCTTCCACTCTCTTTTAAAATTTATCAATATTTGAGAATATTTAATATAATAGAATAGAATAGAATACGTTTATTTGCCAGAATACAGTAATTACAAAGGTCTTAAGTAAAATTAGGTACATTGTATTCAACCTGCAAGCAGATGTGCAAATATTAATGGGATTCCGTGTTTATTTAGTCTCTATAGTTTCTAATTAATGTAATGAATTTGTAAATTCTAAGTATTCTTTATTACTATAGAAGCAATGTGTCAAAAGCCATTTTGTCTATTTTAATTTAAAAGTATGTCCTTGTAACAATTTAATTTCGTTTGGTAATTTATTGTAAATAATTATACACATGTTGAAGCAGTTATTCTTATAAATTACTTTATGGCAACGAGGTTAGTATAAGAGATTCATAATTTTTGCTCTAGTTTGCCTTTGAATGACTTCACCGCGTGTTTCAAAATATTGAGGATGAGAGTTGACAAATACGCAGATATCCCTAATGTACATGCATGGCAAAGGTAATATGTTCAGCCTTTTGAACAGCGGTTTGCAACTGTCATCGAACCACGCACCGCAAATTGATCAAATACACTTCTTCTGGACTTTAAACGCTCTTTCTAAGATTACTGAGTTGAGCCCATAGTACAAGACCTTAGCTAAGCACGGACGAAACGTAGCCGTGATAGGCCGTCAACGCAGCTTCTCGCGAGACAGTTTGCCTTAGTCTTCGTAAAGCCTAAACAAATCTGTTTAGGTTCATACACATCTGTTCGATGTGTTCCTTTCAGTTAAGGTTCTTGTCGATTGTTAACCCTGTACAGTATCAGTGAAGCTATATATAGTGAAACTATCTTTTTCCGGATCTTTTTTTATGATACATTGCGACGGGACAAGCTAGTCGCGAGCCTGGTGATCAGATACACACCTATCCATAACCGTTACAGTGCCACTCAGAGCTTTAAATCACAAAGATATATGGAGTGGAATTCCTGCAGACTTGTTCCCTGAACGTTATAACTAGGGCATTACCAAGGCGAGAGTGAATAGATATTATTTTGGTGTGCATGCTACATGGCCGACCTCATCGTCATTTTCCATCAGGTGAGATGGAGATCAAACGCGCAATTACATTGTGTATATTAAAAAATCACTACTACCGCGCCCGTCACCCTGAGACATAAGTTTTTTTTATAATATCAAGTGACGGGACGAACAAGTCGTGCGCCTGATGGTAAGCTACACCCCTGTCCATAACAGTTGCAGTGCCACTCAGGAGGCTTAAATCGCAAAGATTTGAGGGGCACTGCCACTGCGCCTGTCACCCTGAGACGTAAGTTGACAAGTCGCATGTGCCTGTAATTTCACCAGCACCCTTACCCTTCAAAACCGGAACACAGTAACGCTAACATTACTGCTTGGCTAGGTATGGTGACAATACTACCCAGGACGACCTCTTTCCAGGAGGAGCTCTACCACAACTAAAAACGACTACTATTAAGTTATCAAGTTCCAAGTGCCTGTAATTTGAAATATAATGTAAATGGTTTTACACGAGCTGTCTGTGGAATTTTTACTTTTTTTTATTTGTGCTCTACACGTACAATTTTTAACGTCTTCAGGCTTTGTTAGGGATGTCTCGCTTCTGCAGTGCGTCGGTGATGTTTGCCGAGGCTCACGTTGAACATTCTTCGCGATCATGCGTAAAAAGACCTACACTGCACTACCAACAGAATCCTCAAAATGATTGCGGGCAGGCGTGGGGGTCCTATTCATAAAATGTTGGATGAAACTACGCATGAAATTCATAATGTCTGTTAATTCGTTCCGTAGCTCAGTTGGGAGAGCGATAACCTCCATTTGGCGAAAAAGTTGCTGGTTCGGGTTCAGACGGATCGAAGGAATTTTGAGTATATATTGTTCGATCTTTGTATTTAATAATAAAAATAAAAAACTAACACGGTGAGTAATTTCACAAAAAATATGTTAATATCATGGTAATAAAAACATTATAGTATTCAATGAAATAAATATTGCAGTAAAATACAATATTTATGAGCAATGTTTATTCCTTCGCTTGAAGAATCCATTAGCGCTATGCAATCTTCCGTCTGGTTGAAAGCCGGACGCGACAAATTATCCATTCGCACAGGCTCTTAGGTGAATCTAATTAAATTAACACTCTCTACAACTGAAAGGAATGTATCTCGTTTATTTTTTCAGGTCGTGATTTCGTATTGTATCATATGTTTGCATATACTTACAAAATGTTTTGTTAGACCGTGTGAAGTATTGTACAATATATATTATAAGATGTATTGTATTGTATTTTATGTGCTGTTGCATATTTTTTCTTTCGTCGATGGTTGTATTTATCAAGTACTTATTTAACTATATTATTTACTTACCTTTAAATGTGTTGTTGGGTTGGTTTATAATTAGTATAAATTAGATTTACACAAGCACACACACACTACTAAATCTAGTTACTTTATTTTTAACCGACTTCAAGAAAAGGCGACTATATGCTTTTTTCCTATGTATGCTATGCAATAACTACGGCATTCGTGAACCGATTTTGATGACTCTTTTTTCTTGGAAAGAGGGTACCTTATTAGGTTCCATTTAAATTTGAAGAAAATATTCCACCTGTAAAGGCAACAAACTAAGGGATGAATTACTTTTGAGGTCGGTTTTTTTAGTACTCTGTACTGAGATTATATTTATTGTTATTAACTAAACCGTTTCATAGTCGACACTAACAGTCGAATATAATGTATGAGAGAGAGAGCCTGGTGAGCTGTAATACAGATCTAGTGCGGACTCTAGTCTCTCACAAATTATATTTAAGATTTGTATTTGTGTCTGAGAAATAAATCATTATCATAGTTTTCGTAAAGAAAAAATATTTCCAATACTAAAATCGCAACTAGTGTCAAAAGAGACGTCGCTATTTCTTTTCTTTTGTAACCACGTACATAATAAACTAGCACTAACACAACATAAGCCATCATAAATCTGCCATGAAAAACGTAAGGGCGCCGATACAAAGGCGTTATTGAGTCGGCAAATCTGCTGAATTACAGCCGATAAAGAGGTATTGTGCACATGTCTTTATGCTCCGAGATATATTTTGTCTTCAATGTTATAATGCTTGAAACATATACTTTACTCTGCAGATATGATGTACGTAGTTCAGTAAATTGGAAAAAGATATGTTACTTTTGGCTGCGCAATTGAGTTTCGAAGACATTTCTCTGAATTTATTATACGCACCGCTGAGCATAAATGAGTGAAACATCTGTCATTGGTTCGATTTTTTTTCTGCTTCGATCTGTCCAGTTATTGTATCGTTATAAACACTGTCCGGTGTATTTTTGCTTAACAGTCAATTTGAAACGTTAAAAATTGCTCTTGTTACGTACCCTGAGGGCCTAGTATGAGCTCTTAGAGCAATCCTAATTAAGCCTATAAGTTGGAGTGCCTGTCAAATTCGTACTATGACTTCATAAAAACAATTCACTGTCCATGCAGCTTACATTCCCCATTCGAAATCCTTTCACCTTTTTTTCATAGTAAAATCCTTGCCTTGCAAATGGCGGTCATGGTTGTCAAAATAAGCAATTAAAACATAGTTACTCTGTGACCAATTTTTTTTTAAAAAGGCGGATTTTATCACAGTTCTCTCTCATCATCTAAGAAATTTCGTTTAATTTTTAATATATTTTTTATTTTCATTATTATGTGTGTTGTCTGTTGGAGCTACATTGCCAATTTTTAATAATTAAATAAGTTTTTTGAATAGTTTAGTTCGAGTTTGCAATCTTTAAAGTAAGTATTGTTGATAAATTTAATAATTGGTATAAATTAGCTAATAATCGTTGTATGAACGTAATTGCAGTTTTAAATTGCATTTTAATCATTTTATTGAACATTTTTCTAAGAGGTAATGGCAGATGAGTATGAACTCTTTAATTTTTTTGAATTAGATGCCAATTTCAATAATAATTTAATTCGGAATCGTCGACGCTGCACATGGGAATTAAATAATCCACTTAATTTAGACGATGACGAGTTCATTAAACAATATCGACTGACCCCAGACATAGCAGCAGGTTCTCTGTATGAAGAGCTTAAGCCATTTTTAACGCAGCCAACAAATGGTCAAATGTGTCGGTAGAGACTAAGGTAAGTATTTACCTAAGGTTCATTTAAGAACTGTTGATATTGGTTTGTTCATTAGAGTAATTTCATTTGTCTGATAGCCCTTTAGGTAAGTTAGTCTTTAGGTTTTAACAGCTTTATCCATTTACGCTCTTGGTTCGTACCAGAGGCCTACGGGCGAGGTACATGGCTTGTGTATAGCACAGTCAACTGTATCAAATGTTCTTACTCAAGTAACAACTGCAATATGCTTCATATATGCGAAATAAGTAGATTAAATTCCCATTGTCGGCCGAAGAACGCAGACGCCATAAATTGCAGTTCGTGTTATTATTTATTAATGCTTAATATTATTTTACTTAAGAAAGTACGAGGAAAATAGTAATTATTTTATAATTTCAGATTTTACAGCAAATTTGGGATACCCGGTGTTATCGGCTCTATAGATGGCACTGACATTGCCATTGTACACCCAAAAGACCATGAGGAAAGGTTTTTTTGTCGTAAAAATGATCACTCGTTGAATGTACAACCAGTGAGTTGAGTTATTTTCAAATTTAACATATACTAATCCAGTCACAGGTTAGGGATAGCAATAAGGTATTGTGAATCAAATGTGACTGTGACATGTTGTGATTATTTTATTCATTACAGATATGTAATGCAGACATGCAAATAATTAGCATTGGCGCGAGACACGGAGGAGCTACTCATGATTCGTTTATTTGGTCCCATCGTTCCCTATGTGCTTACCTAAATAACCTCAGCAGTAATGAAGGTCTAAGGCTTCTAGGTAAGTAATAATTTATTTTATATTACATATTATTTAACAATATTTGATTTCATATTTCAAAATTTACTCTGTTTCAATTTGGCAATGTTATTTTTTTATCATAATATATTTACATGTGATTCTGGATATCCTCTTAGCAAAACCGTAATGACACCAATATTGGATGCACCAGAAGGTTCAGAAGAAGCATTTCATACAGATCGGCACGTGAAGACCCGGAATGTGATCGAGAGAACGATTGGTCTTCTGAAGGCCCGTTTCCGTTGCCTACTCGTACACAGGACACTTAATTATGAGCCACAAGTTGCAGGTTTAATTACAAACGCATGTGCAATATTGCATAACATTTGTAATGAAGCCAATGTTCCTGCTGAAGAACTGCCACGAGAGTAACCAAATAGTGAAGCTGAAATGCAACCTAACATCATTGCGTATCGGGATACAGTTGGTATTGCAAACAGCGACTTGCAAGCAGGCATTGCTACACGAAGTAATCTTGTGCGACGCTTAAGAGAACTCAGGCGTCACCATTAGTAACAGTTGAATTAAAATATCTTTATTATTATTATCTACCATTATTTAATCAATTCAAGCACTCACACCTATAATATTAATAAATGTATGGGCATTTTAGATAAATGTATTATCCTAATTAACATCCGGTGAGATCGTGCCTAAGTGTGTCTATTTTATATAGAAAAATAATGAACAAATATGAATTCAAAGTCTCCACTAAATCAATTAAAGGTCCAAAGTCGCTTTAATAAGGAATAATAATAATACTACGTAAATAAAAAGATTGTATAATTCAATCCAAACTTTAATTATTATCATTCAAAATTATACATACTAGAATAAAAAATAAACAAAAACAAAATTACTCTTGCAACTGCGCGCACAAGTACGAAAAGCGAGTGGTGGATAGTCGATGTTTCAACGGTCGGCAGGTGGAAGGCTGAATAATAGAAAGAGTGGTAAGGTGGTGAGCTTAATCTTTGTGTGTGCGTATTCTGACTGACAAAAATAATACAGAATCGGAATATTATTTTAACCGTCTCTCAATTATTCCTAACGTTTTTTTTTTTTTTTTTTTTTTATAAAATATAGGTGCGCATTTGACCTCCATCTCACCTGATGGAAAGTGACGATGAGGTCGACGATGGAGCATGCACACCTAAATAATGCCTATTCACTCTCGCCTTGAAAAGGTCCAAGTTATAACGTTCAGGGAACAAGTCTGCAGGCAGGGAATTCCACTCCTTAGCCGTTCGCCATATAAATGTGGAAGCGTAACGCTTCGTGCGAATCTTTGGAATATCCACAACATAGGGGTGGAACCCAAGCCTACGCCTAGTCCCCCGGTGATGGAAAGGGGAAGGCGGAATTAAATCATGTAATTCCATCGCACACTCTCCGTGATATATCCTGTAAAATACCGATAAGCAGGCAACTTTACGGCGGTGTTCAAGGCTCTGCAGCTTCGCCTCAACTAATTCCGAGTCACCTATAAGCCTCTTGGCACGGTTGTCAATTGAATCCAAAGTGGCCAGTTGATATGTCGCAGAGCCATCCCAAAGGTGGCAGCAGTACTCCATGCACGATCGGACTTGTGCTTGGTACAGCTGGAGCAACTGTCCCGGTGTAAAGTACCGCCTCACCCTGGAAAGGATCCCAAGCTTCCTTGCTGCATTTTTGGCCGTGGATTCAATGTATCTGCCGAAGTTCAAATTGGACGACAGGTCCATTCCAAGTAGCTGGAGACAATCGGCTATCGGTATGGATATATCACGAAAAGTCGGAGTCAGCTCAAAGGGACTCCGTTTTGTGGAGAATAGACACGCCTGCGTTTTGGTAGCGTTAAATTTGACAAGATTGGCGTTGCCCCAATCGGAGACTGCCTGGAGTGTCAAATCTAAACGGCTAACCATGGACTCTCGACAAGACTGGATTTCCTCTCCACTGACCCTTGCATTGGTCAAGTACCTATCTACAACTGTGCTGTCATCAGCATACGCAAAGGTACCTGGAATTAACATATCATTGATATGCAGCAGAAAGAGAGTTGCAGACAGTACGGAACCCTGAGGAACTCCGGCGTCTATCGCCATATGTTCGGAAGAGTAGCCTTCTAAGACCACTCGAATCGAACGTTCGCTCAAGAAATCCGAGATCCAATTGCAAAGGTCAGTGGGAAGCCCATAAGAGGGAAGCTTGCTTAAAAGGCTTGCGTGCCAGACCCTGTCAAAGGCTTTAGAAATGTCCAAAGACACTGCAAGTGCTTCGCCTTGCTTTTCTATAGCCTCGCTCCATATGTGACAGGCATACACAAGAAGATCCCCAGTAGATCGCCCTCGTCGGAATCCGTACTGGCGATCACTGAGGAGATCGTTGTCTTCAAGGTACGATAGGAGACGGTTGTTGAGTACACGTTCCATAGTCTTGCAGAGTATGGAAGTGACTGAGATAGGTCTATAGTTGACAGGGTCAGCTCTGTTTCCCTTTTTTGGTACAGGTTGCACGTTTGCAAGCTTCCACGACCTGGGAACTACACCAGTCTCAAGTGAGAGGCGGTACAGGCGTGTGAGAACAGGAGACAACTCAGGTGCACAGTTACGCAGGACTATTGCTGGAATTCCATCTGGCCCGCTAGCTTTATTCACGTCTAGATTTCGCAGAGTTCTAAGTACCTCTTTTTGGCGTATGCGAACTGGCGCCATAGTGCAGCCAGCCTGAGGTAAAGTAGGTGGTAGGGTCCCTGCGGCATCTAGACGCGAATTTTCTGCAAAGAGTGAGGCAAAGAGATTCGCCTTCTCTTCCGCAGTATGAGCCAGCGAACCATCCGGCCTCAGCAGAGGTGGCAAAGATGGGCGACAAAAGTTCGATTCGACCGCTTTGGCCAGGGACCAAAAGGATTTGCTGCCTGCTGGATAAGAGGCAAGCTTGGCTCCTATGCGGCGCACATGGTCGAACTTGGCCCTACGTAACATGCTTTTGCACTTCTTGGCGGCCTTATTAAAAGCTTTCTTCATGTTCTGAGTACTCGGAGTTTTGCGTAGTCGAGCATCTGCCCAAGCTTGGTACGCGGACTGTTTACGTGCTTCAGCACAACTACAATTAGCGTTAAACCATGGACGAGCTTGGGGTCCATTGGGTACATCAGAGTATGGAATGTAATACTCCATACCCAAACGCAAGACCTCGACTACAGCATCAGCACAGCTCGACGAGTCTCCTGAAGTAAAGCACGCCTGCCAGGGATATGACGCAAAGAAATGGCGCATTTCGTCCCAATCTGCTAACTTGTATCGCCACACCCGTCTCATACCACTAGGGCCCTGATCGGGTGGGGAGTATACGGATACAGTTTTCACCAGACAATGGTCGGAAGTACCCAGTGGGGCCTCCACAACCACAGAGTATCGGTCCGGATCAGTTGTCAGCAGAAGGTCCAAGCAATTAGCCGTATGGGATTCAACATCTGGTATCCTAGTGGCGCCACTGACAAGCTGGGATAAGCTTAGCGTTAACGCAAGTTTACGCGTCTCTCTCCCAGCGTGATCGGTCTTCTGGTATGGGAACAACCATTCTTGATGGTGTGCATTAAAGTCCCCCAGAATGACTAGTTGCGCCGCTGGGTACCTATGCTGAATCTCATCAGACGTCTCACTTAGATATTGGAACAGCTTGGTCGTCTCCTGATCTCCACTGTGCGATCGGTAAACACAGCAGTACACTATTTGTGTAACTCCTGTGTCAACCAGAAGCCATAAAATTGAAAAACTCGGTGCCTCAAGGTTCTTGAGACGCTTGACACAGATGTCATCGCGAACGTTTCTTGGATTCCTTTGAGGACATCTAAAAGTTGTAAAAATAGGCGGCTATTAGCTTCTTCCATATTGGCTCTTCTATTAGAGGTCTCTAACAAGCGGTGACGAGCCGTCTCCGCTGTAAGTACTCTTCGTCGACGACGCCTACGTGTGGCAGAAACAGGAGGACTGCGAGGTTGAGACTCAAAAGTAATACAGTTTCTAGACCCAGTGTCGATACTGTCTATACCACCGACCCTGGCGTCGTCGATAAGTACACCTATGATGTCTTGTACGTCAGGCTCAGGTTCTACAACCACAACAATGTTTACCGACGACGAATTGCTCAGTGACGATTCCTGTAAAAAAATCAAAAAAATTTATGCTTTTACTTTTATACATCACAAATAATATTGTTTTATTATACGACAGATTGGTGCTGATTGCCAACTTGGTCATGTTCTGCGCTTGCTTGATCCACCATCTGCAAGAACTCTCGTAATCTATCAATAACTCTATAACATAATTCTGTATAAAGAAAACAAACAAGTTAATGATTTACAAACATGTTCAAATGGGTCCACACGTACGCCAGGTAATCCACGACCAAAATCGTTTCCTACAATGCGTAGCAACCTACGTTCTATTTCGGAGACGATAGGTTCGTGTGATGGACCACCTCCTGTTTGACGCCGATAATATTCGATACTGGCTACCTTTCTCTTGAGTTGGGCCTTACAGTCCACCCAATACTGAAACAATACAAAATTATTAATTAACCATTTCAAAAAGCTTGAAATAGTTATTTATTTAAACTCATTATTTTTACCGTCGACCACTGTTTCCGGTTTTTCATAGACCCTTCACCCATACTATTTCAAAATTCGGCGACATTCTTCCACATCCTCCTTGAATACTCCCGAGCTTGGGCGGATTCATTTTAGCCCATAACTACGTCCATGTGACCATTTAAAAAGTCGCTTCTAGTTGACCATGGATCACATGACGCCGACGTATTCCGGAAGAATGCCCTTCCTCACAATTACTGAAAATAATATAATGCGTATGCGAATTTTATACTATTATCACACCAAATTAGAATATTTACACCACAATAAAATACTCCACCAGCAGCAAAAAGCATAAGAAAACAATTTAATTGACAACAAGATTGTGAAATAACTCTTAGTTAGAGCGAAATTTGACATTAGCGCAAAAATCTACGAGTACAAGATACGTTTTAATTATTACAATGATAATGACTAGACATGACGACATGTAATTTTGTCTTACGACAAATTGTAAAGTATGATTGTAAAGTTGCCAATATTACAAAACAACGTAATAAGTACAATCAATAATAAAATTAATAAAAAATTATAATTATTCTCATTTTGAACACAATCGGTTAATAGTAGCTTGAACGCCCCCAGGACATACATCTGTCTATTTCTTTCATACGATTTAGTATGTAGTTCCATCTCGCTCTTGTTTTATAAGTCAGCTAGCCAGGCAGAGACAACAATTAACGTATAAAAAGTAAAACTCATCATCCTGTCATGCCATTCCCGTTCAACTTTGTGTAGG